CCATCAACACAGATCAAGTACATAACATGACAATAATATTTTCTTTTAAATAGATTATAATTAAATAGTCATAAGTTATTGTAACAAAAATAGACATTAGCTGGTATTCGATAAAAGTTTTTTCAAAAACATTCCATACATTGTCAAATTCAGTTATCTTTTTATTTTTTATAGCTATCATACTCTCTAATTTATACATATCTTTCAGCTTTATTATAGCTGCTTGCAATGAGAGATTCTTTTTAAAGCATCTAGAATTATACACATATTGTTTAATATAAAGAAAAATCATGTTGTATGGGTTGTTGGGGAATATCTTGGATACGTCTCCTAAAAGAAAGTTTAATTTATTCATTGGGAGACTTATTCCACCAGAAAGGAACCAGTTATCAATATCCTGTAGAAAATTTTGTACAGTATTGCAATTCCAAAATAGGTGTTCTATAGACTCGTTCTCTGATTCACAAAATGTACATAAAGGATCATCGGTCAATTTTATTTTAACTAAATACTGATTTGTTGCAATAATGCAATGGTTAATCATATATTGCAACCACTGTAATTTACTATTTATTGTAACAGCAAAAGGCAGTCTGAAAATCTTTTTCCAGTTCAGATTCTGTTCACCTAAAATTTTAACCCACTTAAGCTGTCCAGTAGGAGTAACATTATTTCTTGTCAGTACAGAATACATATCTTTTGATCCTTTACAATGTTTTAAAAATACTTGCAAAAATGATGGTATAAAAGGACAAAATAATTTGTAAGATCCTTTAGTGTAAGATTTTGTTGCCTCTTTCACTGCCGAAATAACACTGTTAAATTTAAGAAAATCTGTGTTTATGTTATAGTTTTGCTTAAATTGGTCAAATGAAATATACGATCCATCTTGGTCAACTATATCATTTACAAATCTAATACCACTTTTGAACCATTTTTGATAATTACTGATTTATGACCAATCCTAATATTAATATTTAGCCATAGTGGATTTGATAAAAATGAATCATAAGTCAAGTTTCTTTCTTTTTGAATAATCATTCCCAGGATCTTAGTACATCTTTCAAAAATGGTTGTTAACTGTTGTCTAATATAATCAACACCACAACTAAACAACTTTCTTTTATATATATTTGACATGAAAATATTTTGCCATCTACTATCTCTCTGCAAAATCCTTCTAATCCATGTTGATTTAAGGGCTGTAATGAACATATTCAAATCAAGCATTTTTAAACCTCCCTCCAAATAATCTTTGATTAGGATATCCATCTTAACTCTATGTAAAGGTGAGTTCCATATGTATGTATAAATAAGTTCATTTATTCCCTTAACAATATCATCTGAAGGATTTGGCAGAGAGATAATGAGATGGTTTACAATAGGCAAGACTAGATTTTTAATCACAGTTATTCTACCTATTACAGTTAGATTCCTTTAAGACCATTGATTTAAAGTATTTTTAATCTGTACAATTCTTTCAGAATAATTTATCTTAACAATTTTTTCAAGATCTTCATCAAAATTGATTCCTAGTAATTTAAAAGTAGTTTCACCCCAAGACAGATTTCTGTTAGGACATAATGTATCTGTACTATATTTTATGCTCCCAAACCAAATAACTTGTGTTTTTGTGAAGTTGATATTCAGTCCAGATATTTTTGCAAACCAGTCTAATTCTAATAGTGATTCTTGCAGAGATTTTTCACTCCCATCCAAAGTCAAAGAGGTGTCATCAGCAAATTGCGACAATTTATGCTCAACCCGTGTGACCTTTATACCACTAATGTCACTATTTCCCCTTATTTTCAATGCCAGAATCTCAACACATAAGGTAAAAAGATATGGAGACAGGGTGTCCCCTTGTCTACAACCTCTACCAATAGTAAAAAAAATCTGAAAAGTTCCCCCCTTGGATGACAGCAGAGTTGATATTATTGTAAAAAACTTTAACCCAATTAATGATAGATTCGCCAAAATTGAAAAATTTCAAAACATTTATCAAAAAGTCCCATGATATGGAATCGAAAGCTTTTTCAAAATCAATCAATAGTAATAACCCTGGTATTTCATGTACCTCTGTGTACTGTAATATATCATAAATGAGTCTTATATTTTCCCCAATATACCTACCACTAATAAAACCAGTCTGATCAAAATTCATCAATTTATCGAGGACACTCTTAAATCTGTTTGCAATAGCAGCTGATCCAATTTTATACACAGTATTCAGTAAAGATATTGGGCGCCAGTTTTTTAAAAAGTGGCGGGGTTTATTCCCTTTCGGTAGACAAGTAATAATCCCTTGTTTTTGTGTAACAGATAGTTCCCCTGTTTTTGCACCATAATTTAAAGAATTTATAATAAAAATTTTAAGATCCTTCCAAAAAAATTTATAGAACTCTGCTGAAAAACCATCCGTTCCAGGAGTTTTGTTGTTTTTCATTTTTTTCAATGCTTCTCCAGCTTCTTTAACAGTAATTATACCTTCCAAGCTTTCTTTTTCCTGAGATGGAAGTATAGGAACACTTAAGTTTTTCAAGTCTTTTTTCAGATCGCTTAAAGTACTTTTAGTATCCCTTTTTTTATAAAGATTGTCATAAAAATATTTAACTTTATTCAAAATATCTTTTTGTTTTGTTATAATTTCCCCATTTTCTTTTTCTACTTTAGGAATAATTTTGCTCATAAAATTTCGTGATTCTAAGCCACAGAAATAATTAGTAGGTTTTTCCCCTTCCTGTATCCATTGGACACGGGATCTTACTAATTTCCCTTTTAATTTTTGTGTTCGTAAACTTTCAAGCTCATGTTTTTTATGCTTCTAATTCGTTAATGGAATGTTCATCAACTCTTTCCTCTAATTGAGTTACTTCATTTCGAAGATTTATTTCTCTTTTTTCGTCTTGCTTTTTTTTAAAGCTTGAATATGAAATTGTCTTCCCCCTAATTTCCATTAGAAGAGTCCCAAGAAAAAGCTGACAGTTAATTCTAAAATGAATGTCTGTATTACCTATTTTGTCAATATTTTCCATATTATAGACTAAAGCACAATATTGTTTTTTCACTTCCTGTATTTTTTGCTTAATAGTATTTATATAGTCTATATCATATAATAAAGAGTTGTTAAACTTCCACAAACCTTTTCCCCTAATGAAAGGGTTAAATTCTAAATCTAGCAAAATCATAGAGTGATCTGACCGATAGCTTGGAAGTACATTACATTTTTTTAGACTGTTTAAAAAGTTTTCAGTGAGAAGAAAAAAGTCTAATTTAGCCTGTTTAAAAGGATTTCTCTTCCTCCAAGTGTATCACTGTACATCTGGAAAAAGTTCTCTATATGGGTCTATCAAATTTCTTTCTTCAATAAATTCAAGAACTTTTTCCCTAGCTTTCGGATTGTTAATATTCACATAGTAGCAATAATCTATACATGGGTTTTGGACAAGATTAAAATCACCACAAATAACAAAGTATTCATTTTCAAAATCATCAATAACAGACAGCAATGTGCACGTCTGTTTTGCAGACTAAACAGTTCAACTCTGCAGCAATGTGCACGTCTGTCTTGCAGACTAAACAGTTCAACTCTGCAATATCCCTTTTTGAAGTTATAGCAACTTTCAATGTGTATTATTATATCTAAGAATTTTTGAGCAACAAAACTATACAGTAGGTTAAAAGTTTTATAAATCTAACGTAACAATAACGCAACGTAATCGTAGACACAAATATCCTTGTTTCGTTCGGTATTAATCGGTTCCTTACCCAACCTAACATTCCGGCAATTAGTGTCCAATGTAACAATAAATTTATTTAGAAACTAAAGTTTCAACTCCCTCATGCAAACTTGACCTAAGATGGATTAAATATTTAAGAGTTGTTGTGAGTGTTCTTAACGTGCAGATAGCGTGGCATTCTCTCTACACTAGGCATCGGATTTAACGTCCCCTTCTGACCAGACGTGACTGCGTATTCATACATCCCGCACAACCAAACGGACGCCCCACTTGGTCAAGGTTTTTAATGTAGGTCTGATGAAGACTAAGTGGAAAGCTAGTTGAAAGCCAACACCTAATAAAAAAATCATGTTTCTAAGAATTAAATATAAGGGTTTTGAGCATGTTGAGGTTAATTCAAGTATTTGTTGATAGAAGTGAAATAATCTGAACCAAAGTTCTAGTTTTTAGTTTCTATATAAGGTGGAATATCATGTACATACAATTCTATCTACTACTCGGAATCTCCATTCACTAAGGATGATAGACTAGCGTACAATTAACGAGTTTTGACGACTACACGTGCATCTACAGATAACGTTGTCCAGCCATTATTTAAAAAAAAATATTTGTGAAAAACATTATGTGTAGGCACATGCCTAAAGTGCCTAACGGCAGCTATCATTTGGCTATTATTTCTCATGATGTCCTTTTTGCCCGTCAGATAGCGATACATCCTTGGCTTTTATATATTCGGCTTTAAGCGTTCCTGATGATGGTTAATCCAGAAAAGCGCTTCGGACGCATGAAATTATTTTCATTTTTTTAGTGCCAAGATGATATTCTCCAGTTTGATATGATTAGTCATTGCTTCACAATAACATGATCTATTTAGACGAAACTATTTTAAGATTATGAGATATCTTTCTTCCCGTAATTTTTCATGTGTTGGTTTGCTTATTGAACAAACGTTTATATAATATACAAAAGGGAGTCATGGACTAGCCAAACATTGTCAAGAATCAGTCCAGTCTGTAATGCGCATGCGTCACTTGAAAATCACACCGCACAGTACAACAGATCACGACTACCATATTAGGAACCTACTTTGGCACAACAAACGTAATTAAAAACGTATCAATGTCCGGTGAGGACTCTAATTAAAACTAAAGGTTTAGGTTGACCTTATAAAAGCTCACAAACATGATGTCAGATTAAGATAACATACCTGGAATATTGGATTCACAAACGAGAGGTTTAGGCCTATAGTTATGTACTCACCATATTTGAAACATTTGCTGCTTTCTGCTTGTATACAGCCGAAGAACGGTTTGTCAATCCTTCATCCCATTCATTATCAATTGTTATGTTTCCTTGAAATTTTAGCTCCTGAGGTGGAACTGTATCAAAATAGAAACAAATTATAATTCACAGGCTATGGCAACATAACACAGGGTTTTCGTCACATGCACTTGTCTCTGAAAAACAGTTCATATATACCTTAATATAACACTAATGTATATATGAGAGAGAAAAAAATCAGAGACAAGTGCCTGTGGTTTTGTTTCATAGACGGCACCGATTCAGGAGGTAACCAAAAATATAGGCAGGAAATTTTGAAGCTCATTTCTCCGAAGTACCACTACATGGACCATTCAATGTATTTATATTCTTAGGTTACGCTGTTGACACCTGATTTACAAAGACTTGATTAGTATTTAGTCACAAACATACCTGCACTAAGCCCCGTTTAGTACATGTAAGTTCGAACAGGGTTTTAAAGAGGAAGATCGATCTATTCGTAAGAGGCATTTTTCTGTCGAATGTTTCATCTTAACGTGTTTTCAGGCAAATTTTTGGGGAAAAAATATGGGATATGTGAGTATGATCAACCAACCGACCCCATCTCTTGATTCGTAAATACACATCAGATGTCATTTTATTACTCTATAGTATCATAAGTTTTACTTATACAACAGAAAGGAAACCGCGACCATCAATAGGACAAATAAACTATAAAATAAACAGCAGACAGCATTTATTTAATTCAAAAAATTCGAAAGCTTGAACAGCGTAAAAATTCAAAGACGGAAACATCTTTTTTTTCATAACTAACCTCAATTAATCAATACATATGTTAATCTCAACTCTTCCCTTACCAATCAATCAATAGTCGTGTTAAGCCCAACTCCTTACTACCCAATTAAGCAACACATATGATAATCTCAATTCCATATCTCGCACAACCAATCAATTAACAAATATGTTAATCTCAACTCTTCCCTTACCAATCAATCAATATACATGTATATGTCAATCTCAACTCTTCCAATCAATCAATCAATATGTCAATCTCAACTCTTCCAATCAATCAATCAATACATGTGGAAATATCAACTGTCGACTGCGCATGTGGTGCATTAAAATTGACATCTTTTATGTTATTTTCACTACCAAATCAATCAATAAATATGTTAATCTCAACTCCTCATTAATCAATCATTCAAAACATTTCTTGATATCAACTCCTCACTAACAAATTAATGAACAAATTTCTTGATATCAACTCCTCACTAACCAATTAATCAACAAATATGTTAATCTCAATTTCTTACTTATTAATCAGTCAATAACTATGTTAATCTCAAATCCTCACTAACCAATCAATGAATAAATATGTTAATCTTAACTCCTCACTAACCAATCAATCAACAAATTTCTTGATATCAACTACTCACTGACCAATCAATCAACAAACAAAAAAACGTGAACCAGTCGATACATATAAATAATAAATAATAAAAAATAAATTCTATTTTATTATTGTGTAACATATTGATTGAACATTATACAATATTATAATAACAATATGCATTTAAACAATCAATACCCTGGCATTGAGTTGGCTTATGAGACAAATATTTACAAAACAATTCACAGTTATATGTACATAACATTTCCCTAAATTTGTTTTCGTATAATTTTTAAAAAGATTTATCATTTACATAAATACAAGTTCAATAAATAAATCAAAATAATAAATTATTTAGATAAAAATTTATTATCATTATTACTTTTATTCATTTCATTTAAATATCGCTAAAACTATAAAAAAAAATAGTATTTTAAACTAAACCTTCGTCTCATTAAAAATTAAAATTCCTTTTGCTTAAAAAAGTTTGAATTCATGACAATTCATAATTTCAACTAATTTCTGATCATCGTCTAAATTAACAAAATTTTCAATATAATTTGAACATTCAGAAAATAAAACCCATCTCAAGTCATCATAAAGAGAGTAATTGAACAGAAAATGTTTTTCATATTCAACATAATTGTTCTTACAAAATACACAAATTATGTTATGAACTGGAATTGGCGGCCTTGTATACCTTCCGGATTCGATGGCTAGCGATAGCGATCCGGTGCGGAACATGGCCATTAAAAAGTTCGTTATACCATTCATCATTGTCAAGAAAGTTGTTCTTCTCGATTACAGTTTTCATAACGTGTTTTGTATTCAAAATAACATCACTCACTTCTTCATTTACATTTAATAAAGTAACAGTTTTATTCACTTCATAATTCCATCCCTTTTTCGTCTTGATGCCCAACGCCAAACCCTAAATATTTTCCTGTTTTGTTCCATCCGTGTTATTTTACCAAAAAGTCTTATGTATTACAAGAAATGCGTTGTTTTCTGAGACAAGACAGCTATCCCATACCACCATGTGTCGAAATGTTTGACGTATTTTTTACCAACGGATAAAAAGTATTTACATGCCTTATTTTGGACAGTGTTAATAACGGTATATGATTTTGTTCCCCATATGACACTTCCATACACCAAAACTGGCTCCACCATTGAATTATAAAGTTTTGTAAACACCGCCTGAAGAAATAAATTTCCCGAAAACCGCACCGAGAGCTCTACTAGCCGACTTTAATACTTCTTTGGTGGTTTTATCAAACGTTAAATGATCGTCCAAACCTATTTCTAAATATTTTTATGAATCCGTTTCAAGAATGTCGTTGTTTGAACATTTGAATTGGAAATACGTCAAGTTAAACGATTGTGGTCTAAAATGTACCACTTTAATCTTTTCTGGATTCACATACAATTTCCAAGACGAGAACCAGTCCGTTAAAGTGTCTAGCATTCGTTGCAAGCTCTGTTCGTCGGGCGCTACAGGTGCAATATCGTCCCCATAAAGAAGCCCAGATGTTTATGGTTTCTTCGTTAAATTTACTTACCAGGTGTCGTTGTTGGCGAGACAGTCTTTTTGTGAACATCCGCTATAAAAGGGGGGAAAATAAAACATTGTTAAAACTGATAAATCTGTAATATTTCAAAAATCTCAAAAATATTACAAAAATATTAATTTTGTAGATAGAAACAATACCGCTTCCTTTACAGGAGCCCCCTACACTCTCGAATCCTCAAACTTGTCTTAACTATTGTCAATATAAAAGCTCTTGCAACAAAAAAGAGAATAAAAAATGTATAATAGTAACTCTAACGTACTAGTAAATAAAAAATCCCAATTATCGTGTAAACAAGTGTACTGCACAATTACTGAAAAATTCAACATTTCAAGCGACTATTTTTGGATTAATGAGCGATTAAATATAATATTCATGACTTAATGAAATAAAATTGTGTGTTGAACCCGGTTTTACGGCAAATGTAGAGATCCTACTTCCACGAAAATCAGTTGAATATTTTACCTACAAAGTCTATCATTCGGTGTCAGCCGACAAGACGCTGATCACTAATTTACTTTGTTGCTTATATCTATTTTGACTATCGGATAGGGGTTTGAGTTCATTTGACAAATAAAATGCTTATCAGCAAATTACATTACGTCATTCAAAATATCACAAATTAAGTATTAAGAATTTTGTTCATACTTACAAAGACTAGTGAAATAAACAGCTATCGCTATTGCACCAGCGACAACTACTAAAAGGACTATTCCAATGGCAACGGCTATAGCTTTCCAAGACTTCGGCTTTGATATTGAATCTGTTGATATACTCCCATGAAAATGCTGATCGGAACCCGTTCTTTGTGTTCCCCCATAGACGTGACTTTCTAGATATTCCTGGTGTGGTTGGGGGACATTTTTATGATCAAAAACATTGATATTTTCGTGCAAATTGTCTTTTTGTCTAAAATCAGGCCTACATATATCATTGTTCCTGTGGTAGCCTGGATTGTCGTAAGAATTGTTATCCCAGCGATAGTGGTCTTTGTCGTGTCGACGCTTCTGCGAAGAGAAAAAAGATATCATATGACTTTTGTGTTGAAAATTACGAATTGTTTATATTTGAGATTTAAGAAACTTAGACCAAGTTTGTATTTTCTTTGTTTCGGCGCTTTGCATTTGCGCCAATTGGTATTTCATTTGCGCCAATTGGCATTTCATTTGCACCAAAATGAAATATTCATTTGCGCCAAAAATAAAATATTTCATTTGCGCCAAAATAAAATATTCATTTGCGCCAAAAATAAAATATTTCATTTGCGCCAAAATGAAATATTTCATTTGCGCTGATTATACGGGTAAATAGTATAGATCATAGTTATATGTATTTTTTCTATTTAGTTTCTATTATTAATATCCTCCATTCTTCATCATTACATGTTACCCCTTTCGAGCAGAATAAGTTCCTAAATAGAAACATTAAGGCTAAAACACGAAACCTTACTTTCCTAACGCGCTAACATGGTAAAATCGCATCGAAGAATTTAGAGTTTACGCGGGACAGAAGAAAAAAGAAATGAAAAGGCATCAAAAAGGCTCACTTCACAGTTTACAGACTAATTTCGCCTAGAGACAGATTAATTTGTAGTTGCACATTTGCCTCCTTTAAAAATATCTCAAAAAGTCGTTAAAGTTAAGAAAAGAATGTTCAAAGCAAAGAATGTTGTAAAAAGTAGTGAATAAGGAATAAGTAGCGAATAAGGAATAAGTAACGAATAAGGAATATGTAACTAATAAGGAATGAGTAATAGTAACCATGCACTTGTAGATCTATCTGTTGTCACATTGATTCTTCTTTGCACCAATATAATTTATTTATTTATTTTAATTCAAATGCACAGTGGGTTAGTGACATACATACAATTATCAAAATATTGACAACATGGTACGTAATATATCAAAATAAGAAGATTTTCTATGATTTCCAATGAGACAACTATATTCACCAGAGACCTATATTTGTGTTTTATTTGTGTTGTTTTGTATTATTGATTAATTCAAATTCTTCTTTTTAAAGACTTTTTATAAAATTTAAAATTCTTAAAATAAATGAATTATATGGTTTTTGTTTGGGATTAACCTTTTTGTTTGTTTTAAGGTAAAGATAAATCATGTTTATGTAATCCTTTTTTTTCTCGTATTTTTATGCCCAGTCTACCATAATAGAGCTATTATGTGTTGTCCGTTCGTATGTCTGTTTGGTCCTTATGAGGTTCAAGTTTTTGGTTAAGGTTGTAGAATTGTATTCTTTGTATTTGGAACAAATAAAGTGCGAGTTATGAAAAAAATCAGTAAAACCTGCAGGTCGGGTCGAGGTCACAAGACAATCTTTCAGAATTTTTATTATTGGCATGTGCATAGACTATGACGGGGATAACCCAGCTCCCACCATCCAAGCTCGTTTTTTCACTGTATCTTTTTGTTATTTTGTTATTTATTTGTTTGTTGGTTTTCTTTGTATATTTACAAAAAGGTGAAAGGTATATCTAGTAAAAGCCTACTTTCAAAAGTCACATCTTCAAACAAATGTTGATGACCGATTTGTTTAGTGTTCTACATAAATTAATATAATTATATCACAAGAAAAGCAACTGCAAAGAAATTACGAATATATCAAGTAACATATGTCATTTTGAATTTATCATTGTGTGTTTTCATAAAAAAAAAGAGCATGCTCAATATTAAATAAAATTGAGAATGGAAATGGGGAATGTGTCAAAGAGACAACAACCCGACCATAGAACAGACAACAGCAAGAATAGTTTGCGCGAAGCGCATTTCTTATACATCACGGATGTTTCAAACTACAAGAGAAGCACCGATAGCAATAACATTTATTGCCAAAACCAACAAAAATATAAGTAAAATCAAACTTTACAAATATTACTACACATTGACATTGGTGTAACGTTGTCAAGGAGAGCACGTGCAGTTATTGATGTATTTGGAAATGAAAAGAGCACTTTAATACAACGTGCGTATTAATATCTAGCAATCAACATTATGAAATCTTTATGAAACATCAATGTTATGTAATCGTATAGGCTTGTCATCTATTCGAGGTATTTCCTATTTTGCGGTCAGCACTAAATCAGTGCACATAGTTTCGTTGATTCTTCCTTATTTCTCGCTCCTTTTTTGTAAAAACAAACAATTGAAGAATGTAATTTACTAAATTTATGTATTCTTTATTACAAACGATAATACACAATTTATATGGATTTTCTTTTCATTTCATATAAAATATATTGTGATGAGTCGGAGCCCGTGAGTTAAATACGTGATATTTGATGATTAGCAAGGTTTAGATTACCATTTTGTTAACTATTAAAATACCAAAAAAATTGCTGATACAATAACTGTTTTGGGACATTCATAATCATGATAATCGTCAGTATGACATAAATCTACCCAAGTAATCTTACTGTAACAATGACCTGTCAAATATACAAGGAAGGTAAAAATGACTTAATTTCAATTTTAACAATGAAGGGTGATCCCAAATGATACTTTATAATTCAATTTGAGATGATCCAGGTAGACAATGCACCCTACTTATGTCATCGGTATATATAATTATAATGATAAGTTGCCACTGACCTCTACAAGCAAAACAAGAAAAGAAATTTTCAACAGCAAAAAAATAATCCAAAAGTAAAGGCGCACTCTATTTACTTGAAACGTAAGAAGGATTCTATAAATTGGTCAAAAACTTCTACGTTTAACATTAATGGAAGGAATCATTTTGGAATAATACTTCCACTAATTTGAAGCAAACAAGATCAGTTACTGTCCTTCGTTTTGGCTTCATAATCATTGTATCTTACAAATGGAGTGATTAATATCAATTCACTTATTTATGGTTAAGAACTAAACTACAAAAGAATTGGACAAATTGTGTGTTCCTACAATTAATTTCGTTGCTGTGTGCAATATTATTCAAAGTTTATAATTAGTCGCGCATCAATTAGAGGGTAGGTCGGCATCGTTTCCATATCAAGCTTTGCAATATTATTCGAAGTTTGTTCCATCAATTAGAGGGTAGGTCGGCATGCTTTCTATATATAACCGGGCGTTTTCCGTGTTATATTAACTCAAAGACGGAATACCAATACTTTAAACTTTATTAGCAAGGTCCGGACAGTACCAGACCTAAGACCTAAACTGCTACAAAATAACATACAAAAGCATATATAGAAAACAGTTACTATAGCAAAGGATTAGTGTCCGACAAAGGATTAACTTGTCATCGTCAGAGTGATTTCCATTACGACAAACATATATTTAACAATAGAATTAATTAAACACAAAGAAATGTAAAAGGTTTGATAAACGGATTAATAAATTGTCACTATAGCACTTAAAATATATTGTCGGAATTAGCTTTATTTCTATTTCACATTTGTCCAAATCTTCCTGGTTATATATATATCACTAACTAAACTTTGCGCTTGCTACATGTATCATCACAGTAACTAAAGGCATCCTTCGATGAGGTATATCTAGCATTGTTGTATGTATTTTGTAAATATGTGTCTCATAAGCCAACTCAATGCCAGGGTATTGATTGTTTAAATGTATATTTTCATTATGATATTGTATTAAATGTTCAATCAATATATTACGTACATGGGGAGACATATACTTGCCTCCCCATGCCGCTAAAGTTATATTTGCTTAAGAGCAACAAAAACACGTCTATTTCCATAGCAAGTTTATTTCAAAAAGAGCCAGATAACATCACATGACAAATATGCATCATTATACAAAGGGACACAACTCTCACGACTTTACCATAAAACACATACGACCATACATATACATAACAAATATGTGACACAATAATAGAATAAAATTTATCTATTATTTATTGTATTGTGTTTTTTTTTTGTGTATGTGATACCGTTATTATAGACTTAAGTGCCTTTTCTCAACAGAGTTTCATTGTACATTTTAGTCCTAAAGTTATTCCAAAAAATGGCGAGATGAGACTTCATAGTACAATATAGATAGGATTTATAATTGCAAATAAAGAAAAAAGAAAATAGAATAAACTGTTATCACAGAGATATGTCTCGCCTTTTTGTAATGTTGATTATGCAAATGTTGAAATTAAAATAGCAATACTTTAATAAGTTACATAAGTTATGCAAATATTCAAAGTCAATAAACCATGACTGAGGTACATGGCTAAACAATCGCCATGTTAATGAGATGAACCAATGCTAATACAACTGTACACCAAATACCATTGACATATTATAAGTCGTTCCCTTTAAACAAACCCAAACACAGACATTAACTTGTAAACTATGTAAAAGTTTCAAAGTCAATGAACCATGAAGAGGGAGTGGGGCTATATAATCTCCATGGAAACGATACTCGGCCGATCACTAATGGTTCCCCTGGATAAATAAATAACCCAAAGTCCCCTTTCCTCAGTTCTATTGATTTTGAAACGAAGGACCCCAATTTATTTACTTGCGGTCGTGTTGAATTATTAAGACTAAGTATAAAATCATCATTCTTTTCCTCAGTAGAAAAATCATCAGAAAAGTTTTTCCCCGAATCATTAAGATATTTTTCTCAGACCCCTATTAAATTAAATATCTAATAAAATAATAGGGTAATGAATAAATATAGTTAATTACAAACCAGAAAAATTAACTTTGACCGACCATGCAACAAACATTTTGCCTTTACTTGCAAAAAAACCTTTGTATTGAATCCTTCATCTCAAAGGGAATTTTCATTGTTACTTAGAATGCGAGCATTTTAAATCAAATAATATTTTGACAACACATATCATCAGCTTAATATCCCTTTTGTATCTTTCGCCTATCATGCTTTTAATGTTTTTTATTTATAAAATTCACATACCAAAACATGATGAAAGAACGCGGAAGTCCAGTGGGAGCTTTACGCTAAAATTGTTTTAAATCATAACTTATTCAAATTGACAGCGCCTGTGTAAAGAATCTTGACTGTCATCAAGTATTTTC